TAACTAGAAATTTTTTTTTAAACGTGCGAATAAACTATAATAAGATATAATCTATTCACACGTGCGTGCGAATAGACTCACCCTTATATTAATGACTTAAATAAAGCCTAAAATCTACTTAGTATTATGTTTGCAGGCGATACTAACCAATGACTGACGAACCCAAAAACATATCTACCTGGTTCAAATGTAACAAATTATATAATATTTACTAATTATATAATATAAAAAATATACACTAACTACATAAATATTAATAAAACAAAATAAATTATTTTCCATTCGCTTAAAAATAAGCGTAATCTACCCATAAATCTGCCTCAAATTTTTATCGACCAAATTGAGATTAAAAAAGATTACGTTACAAAATTTTAAGGAGTTTTTCTTGATGAACACATTACATGGAAACATCACATTGATTACAATTTGTAATGTACTAAAATTTCTAAAAATTTTGAAATTTTGTATAAAACAAGAGTTTATGAAAAAAAAGAGCTTATCTCAACTTTATTACTCGTTTATCCATAGTTATTTAACTTATGCAAAAGTTCATAGCTATTTAATGTATGCAAATATTGCCTGGGGAAGTACTGATAAAATAGATTGAATAGATTGGTCTTTAAACCCGTCAGAAGCACGTAATTTGTATTATTAATTTTGTCTTACTTTCTTTCAAATCCTTTTTTCAACGAAACGATATTACTGAATATATATGAATTAATTAAATGTACTCAATATCTTATGTTTTGTATATATGTGGAGAAATAATTTTTTATTAGAGTCATTTTTAGTTGGGCAAAATAATACCAATTTTTCAAAACAAAATACTTCATTTTTTTAATTAAAAAAATAAAAACGATCAATTATAGCTCCTTATAGAATAAACCCATGATGAGCTTTAGTAGGAGTAACAGAGAGTAGGCTTTGGAGGAAGTTTGTGCCCTCTCATTAATAAATTTTGTATTTAACAAGTATTCAATATCCTTGCCAAAACAAATCGTCCTTGAATCGGAAAAATCATAAATGATAGATTGATGGAAAAAATTTAATAATAAAATAATTACTCTATATTAATACATTTCTGTTTAATTTGTAGCATAAAAATTTGTCAAGCAGTAGCAATTCATCACTTTCACGAATTTTCGTGAAAGTGATGAATTGTTATTGTTAAAATTCGTGAAAGTGATGAATTGCTACTGCTTGCCAAATTTTTATGCTACAAATTAAACAGAAATGTATTAATATAGAGTAATTATTTTATTATTAAATTTCTTCGATCAATCTATTATTTATGATTTTTCCAATTCAAGGACGATTTGTTTTGGCAAGGATATTTTTAAGGCATTTAATACAAAGTTGTTTCAGATTTTTTATCTAGTTCTTTACATAAACCATTTTTTTAGAATACTCTAAAAGCTCTCATTTAGGCAACATTGTGAGATATTCGACGGGTTACCCACTTTGACAACATAAACTTTGGAATTCTTTTCCAAAAATGGCTTTACTATTATGACATAACGCATTATGGCATTTTTTAATAAATTGTTCTACTCATTTCATGACATAATACTCTAAGTAATGATTTTGGTTAATCGAGGTCTTGTTACTAAAAAGTTATGTTGTAACGAAGGGTGGAATTGTTAAAAACGGTCAGACATTTTTCATGGTGATATATACTACCGTTTATATTTGTAAAAAAAAACCTTTTTCCGTTTGCTTTTATATAACTTTCGCCTAACTTGTCAATTAACCTATAATATATATAATATAACTTATTAATAACTATTAAGTACATCAAAAGTATTAAACAACTTAAAATTTGAGCTTTCTAAGTTTATTTTAGTTCACAGTTATTTTTAAGTAAAAAACTTTTAACATTGCTGCAATTGTTTGTTTATTTTAAAGTCAAAATATCATTAAAATCATTTTAAAACAGTAGTTTACTTTCATACTAGTTTATAAAAGCTATTTATCTGCGCGCAAATTTCTTTGAAGCAAAAAAAACTAGCGATAATTCAATTTTATCAGCAAGCATCGGATTCTTCTAGCTTTCTATCTTATAGAGTTGCAAAAAAAGCAGAAAAAGATTTAACAACTGCATCAACTGCATGCTTTTTGCTTGCCCGTGTTCTTTATTTCAAAAATTTGTTTTAAAGTGTTAAGTGTTGATTTTTTCAGGCATTTCTAATGCTTTTTGAGATTATAAAGTAGTGATAATCTACACATTAGGCGCATACACAACACTTGTGTAAGAGCCTAAGCATACACAAGTGTTGTGCGGGAGGGGAAGTAGTTCCACCCCTCCGCTACACCCTATACTTAATCCGCCACTGAGAGGTTTACATTTGTTTGGCGTCTGTAAATAATTTTTACAATGATATATTAAAATAACTTGTTTTATCATTTAATTTGTCCTTAATATATCATTGCTTTTTTAGTACAACTATTTATACAAGCCAATCAAAGTATAGTCTTGGAATTACAAATATATATTGACGAATAAAATTAAAAAAAATAAATTTTGTCAATTTTTTTTTGTGTGAAAAGATCACTCATAAGTTGTCACTATTGAATAAGCGATTTTTGTTGTTCTAAATCAAAATATTTAAAATACGCTTGTTTTCTAGTTTTTTTTATTAAGCTAACTTTGCAGATTTTTTTATGGCATTAAAATTTCAAAAATTCCACTATAGAAATTTTTCGCATTGGCCGATTAAATTGCTTATTCTGCAAAATTCTATCCAATAATTTTACTCTTTGAAGCGATTTCCTCGCTTTTATTATGATTTGTTTTTAAAGTCAGTATTTGCAAGCAAACGAAAATATTGTTTTAATAAATTTTATTATAAAAAATTTTTTCTTGCTAAAAGCCAACTTTACGCATCAGTCTATTGTCACATTTAAAATTAGAAATCTTTTACAAGAAGTCATAAAAGGTGTGGTGTAACAAAAAGTACGTTTTGAATGTGACACTATATTAGAACTATCCTAGTCTTACGATCTTTAGTAAAGGCGTTGGTATTATTGTAGTATCTTGTATTTTCAATATATTGATGGTATATTTTATGTTTTATGTAAATTTTTTTAATATATACCTCAGCTATTAGAGGAATTCCTATTGCAGGTTTGTTAGAGTTTACCATGTAATACAAACTAAACTAGTTACTTAATTAGCTAATTGCTTTTTAATGCATGAGATAAAGTGTAGATAAAGGTTCAAGTTTTAAATACATTACTTATCTAAAAACATACATACATTTTCTTAGTATCCTAAAGTATACTAAGAAAATAAATATTTTATTATTTTTTATATTTAAAGAATTTTATATATAGGTAAAGATGTCTAGTGTTATGTCTCTGTTTTAGTAAGTTAGTAAAATGATTAGTCATTTGTTATATCAAATCATTTAACTCTTAGAGTTCTATTTTCAGATTTTATAAGGTGTTGTTTAAAATCTATCAGAGTAGTATTCAGTTATTTTAAATGCAAGCAAAAGGTTTAGATTTTAAATAAAAGTACAAATAATTTTTCTATATTTTCTGAAGTTTTTGAAAAAAATAAACATATTTTTTCTTTCTGAATTTACTTTTAAAATATTTAAAATGTAGCTTTCGGTTAAATTAGTAATATTAAATGTCTATATAGTATGTGTATATGTACTGTGCATTTTTGTTATAAACAAGAAGGCAAAAACATATATAAGTCGCCTATTCATAAAAACAGAAACACAAGAAAAACCCATGCAATTAGTCAAGAAGATCCAGCATTCAACATCCTAACTGGAAACAATATATTAATAATACATCTATGTAAACCTAATAGATGAAAAAGGGTATTGAAGCTGGTCAACAGATAGAATCTGTTTACGCCTAAGATTCTTTCTTTTGATTCTTTTGAAAATTCCCAATATTTTTATAGAACTTTCAAAGACATTTGATACAGTAGACCATACCAATAAGATTATCTTACAGTTGTATTGTTTAATATTTTAATGATAAAATCTTAAATATCTTAAACATTTAAATAATAAAAGATTTTTTTTTAAATTTAATTAAGATCTTAATCTACACCTCAATAATAATAAACTTATCAACTGATACTTTGTGCTTTCTTCATAAACATTATTCTAACTCAACATTTAATTTATATACTTTTTCTCTACTCCTATACATTCTATGCATTCCTACCTATACATTCCTCTGCTTGTTGTACACTGACTCAAATTTCATATCTTATAAAATATTGTACCATGATAACAAGTCAGCCACTCAGATCTCTTGTTCAATTATACAATTTACAATTTTTTAAATTTTTTATACAATTTTTTAAGTCTTCTGTTAGGTGTCCATACTGTTTTAGTAGTATGGGCGCCCATACTAAAAATTCCATATTTCATAAAATCAAACATTTAAAAAGTCCAACATTATTAAATAAATTAAATGAAAGCAAATAAAAGAAAATGTGTCACTGTTGTTAGCTGTACATTGCATTTTATAACTATTAAAATAATGACAGACTTTAATAATGTTGCATGTAATTAGTTTAGTTAATTTAAATAATTTAGTAATTACGCGCAATAAAGAACTTTCATTTTTATTTTACATCAGATCAGTAAACAAGGTTTATGAATGCCCTATAATTGTAAGTTTTTGTCTATCAAAAATGTATTTGAGAAAATTGTCATTAATTGTAGCGCCCAAACTATGGCTATATATATATAATATATATATATATATGTGTGTGTGTGCGCGTGTGTGTGTGTGTGTATATAATAGTACCAGTTGTAGTAGTAGTAGTAGTAGTAGTAGTAGTAGTAGTAGTAGTAGTAGTAGTAGTTGTTAACTCTTGTCAAGCTCTTATTATTATAAAGCCTTAGCTATTTTTATTGTGAGTGTCATAAATTTTCTTTTGATTATTTTATGGACTATTTTATTTGCTTGTTTTATTATATTATTGTAAAATTATCTTGATATTTTTAAATTACTAATCAGTTCTTTAGGTTGATAGTAGTAAATGGCTGCAATTAGAAAAAAGCTTGTTATTGTTGGTGATGGTGCTTGTGGTAAAACTTGTTTATTAATTGTTTTTTCTAAAGATCAGTTTCCTGAAGTCTACGTTCCAACTGTTTTTGAAAACTATGTTGCTGATATTGAAGTTGATGGAAAACAAGTTGAGTTAGCTTTATGGGATACAGCAGGGCAAGAAGATTATGACCGATTACGTCCACTTTCTTATCCAGACACAGATGTAATATTGATGTGCTTTTCAATAGATTCACCAGACAGTTTAGAAAATATCCCTGAAAAATGGACTCCTGAAGTTAAGCATTTTTGTCCTAATGTACCTATTATATTAGTTGGAAATAAGAAGGATCTTCGTAATGATGAAAACACCAAATGGGAATTACAGAAAATGAAACAAGAACCTGTAAAAATTGAACAGGGAAAAGAAATGGCTGATAAAATTAATGCTTTCTCTTATATAGAATGCTCTGCAAAATCAAAAGATGGTGTACGAGAGGTATTTGAAACTGCAACTAGAGCTGCTTTGCAGGTAAAGAAGAAAAAGAAACCAAAATGTCAGTTATTGTAATATTCTTTTTCTGGCTAAATTTAAATTTGTGTACACAAAAACAGTCAGCAGTCAGGTACAGCACCTGTGACGATAATATTGGCTATCCTAATGTTGAATAGCGTTTTTACTACAGTTTTTTGATCGCTCCATTATTCCATCAATTCTTGATAGTTGTGTCTAGGGTTTTGCTACTGTTCTGAAATATTTACAAATTTAGTCATAGCCTTGATTTTAAATGGTTCCAATTTGTCAGTTTAAATTGTTTTTGAATTTTTTTTATCTCCTTGATAACTTATTTTGAATTTAAAGTATCTGGATTTTGAAGTTGTTTAGCTTTTTTTTCTGTATATAAATTTTGTTTTGAGATAAGATTTACTCACTATCATGTTAATTGTCTTGTTTTAAAAAATTCAGCTTTTTAAGCTCTTTATCTCAAAAACATGAAATGTGACAACATTTAGACTTTGGAGAATTTCTTTGCATATCTATTGTATATTTTATTGAGATGTTTTAAATTTACATTAGCACAAATAAAATCTCTAATGAGTTATATGTTTTATAGTTTTCGGGTTTAATTTTTTTACTTTTAATATTTTAATAACTTAATTTACATTATCTTAAAATTAATAAACTTTTTTCAAAGTTTATCTTTTTTATTGAGTTTTTAGGTAAACATATCTTTAACATTTAGAGCATATATATATATATATATATATATATATATATATATATATATATATATATATATATATATATATATATATATATATATATATATATATATATATATATATATATATATATATATATATATATATTTTTTTTTTTTTTTTTTGAGTCAATTAACTAAGTCAATACTCATTAAGTTATCGACTTTGATATGGTATGGGGTAATTCCGCGTTATATCAAAGTTAACATGATGGTTGCAATGAGAAACTTCCCCGCTTGGTCACGTTTGTGAGGAGAACATCTCATTCAAGCCTCCCGAATGTCGGCACCCGCTGGCATCTTCTGGCTTATAAAATATATATATATATATATATACACACATGCATGCATGCACATATATATTACACACATATGATACTATTTAATGAGGTAATTATATATATATTTATATATATATATATATATATATATATATATATATATATATATATATATATCAGAGCCGTAACTACCGGGGGGGGGGGGGCAAGAGCTATGTTTGGCCCTCTCCATATCTCTAGGCCCCTAAAATGGGTTCTTTAAAAAAAAAGGTATTTGATATGTAATATGAGCCCCCCTAACATGAAAATTGTGTTTACAGATATATATATATATATATATATATATATATATATATATATATATATATATATATATATATATAAATATATATATATATATATATATATATATATATATATATATATATTTGCACACATACACACGATACTTTTTAATGAGATAATAAACAACTATATTACTAGTCGGAATCTAAACTTAACGGCTGAATTTAATATAACTGTTAAAACTTGTTTCAAGAAATTTAAAAATTTTTTTTCCAGCGGCAGCAACCCTCAAACACTTTTGACGCAATTAATTTTGAGTCATAAATCACATAGAATAAAAAATGCGATAATATATTATGGTAGCTTGTTGCTGTAGTAATCAAAAGTCGTCTGTTAAAAAATTAAGTGTGATTAAAATAGTTTGCTTAACTGTATTAAATGTGTTGTGATATGCGTAAATCGGATTAAAAAATTTTTTTTTCTCAGATAAAAGTGTCTATAGACAAATTAAATAATATTAAAAAAAGCTAAAATACACTGCCCGAAACTCAAAAATTCCTAATAATTTTTTTTTCTCAGATAAAAGTGTCTATAGACAAATTAAATAATATTAAAAAAAGCTAAAATACACTGCCCGAAACTCAAAAATTCCTATTAATTTTTAGCTCGCTTATGACGAATATCGGTTAAATAAACATCTTAAAGTTTCGTTATTCTACTCAGCGTAGTAACGGAGAGATGCGAAAAAATATATAGCGTTTAGTCCCTTTCGTTTTCAAAAAAAACCGTTTTATTTTCGTGCGTTTTGATTGGTTTCTTTTTTTTTTTTAAATCTCGAAGCTCGTTGTTTTATTTTGTTTACAAATATTCAGCGATTTGATTATCTACGAGTTTGAAGTTTTAGCTTAATACTATGGGGCAGAAGTTATTAAAGCTGAAACGTTTCTGTATAGTAATTTATTCAAACGACCATAAAGAGATTATGAATGTAAATTGCTAACAGTGAAAACTAATGTGAATACTTTGATTTTAATGCTTTTACTGTTTACGGAAAAATAAAATAAGAGGTTTTTAGAATATTTTTGAATATTTTAATGCTGTAAACAAAAAGTCTTTACTTTCGAATAAAAGAGACATTTTTGGAATGTAAATACTTAACACATCTGTTTCAGCTGTTTTTATGACGCTGACCCGTCGCATTTTATGTATTTTAGTATTAGTTTTGTTTTGCTTGATGCTTTGGTTGAAAAAAGATTTATAAAAAAATAATAAAGTGTAAAAGAAAAACTTGAATTTTACTTTTTCAAAATATATAACAGTAATAGTCGAAAAAAAGTGGAAAACACAAAAAATCGAAGTTTATAAATGTAAAATTTTGTTTTTAAGAAATGCAAATCGTTTGAAATTAGAATACAGAAATAGAATTTGCAACAACCGACGTTTCATCTTAAATCTTTCACTCGGCTTGAGAGTGATAACTTAATACGTTTTTGGTAGTCTGCAATCAGATAAGTAAAAAGTCCTGGTACTTTAATGTAGTTAGTTAAATGCAATACAGGTTGAGTCAGGGCGCATCCAGCTTTTTTTGTTACTTGAGATAACTAACTTTCAAACATGGAACAAACTCCAAACATTTATGTTTATACTTATGTCAAGGTTGCTTTTCAAAAAATTGCAATGATTTGAGCCTGGGAACAAAAAAGCGCTAAAATTTTGACCACAACTATCCCAACGTGAGAGCAACAAGTTAAGTAAAGTTTTTTTTACTATTCTCAACAAAAGTTATATTCTTCGATAAACTTTAAATTTCATAGTATAATTTCTCAGCGTTTAAAAATTATGACCATATAAAATTTAAGCTCCCCTTAATTTGAGGGGGTTACATATTATGGTCATAATTTTTGATTGTTCAAAGATTATTTTAAATTTATCAATAAATTTAACTTAGGTTATGTCAACTTGTTGCTCTCACGTTTGGGGCTGTTGTGGCCAAAATTTTAGGGCTTTTTTGTTCCCAAGGCTCCACTCATCGCAATTTATATATATATATATATATATATATATATATATATATATATATATATATATATATATATATATATATATATATATATATATATATATATATATATATATATATATATATATATATATATATAAACTAATTTAAAACATCAGATAATACGAATTCTCTCAATACTAAACAATTTATTTGAAATTTTCGCCGGATTATAGGCACCGGCATCATCAGCATATAATATAATATAATTAGAGAAATTGTTTTTACAATTTTTGTAATTATATTATATTATATGCTGATGATGCCGGTGCCTATTATGCGGCGAAAATTTCAAATAAATTATTTAGTATTGAGAGAATTCGTATTATCTGATGTTTTAAATTAGTATATATATATATATATATATTTACTCTCGTACAAGATGTCAACATTTAAATCATATATATATATATATATATATATATATATATATATATCCTTATCTCGTAGTTGAAAGAGATAGGGCTCAAACTGAAGTACATTTAACCAAAGATCTAATGAATATTATACTTTTTATATATAAAAATAGTACAAGTAATATAAAGTTTTAGAACAGTAACTAATGAGATATCTTGTAGAAGTATATTGTATTATACTATAGCGCACATAAAGTGTATTATAGGATTTTTTTATTTAATTTTATTAATTTTTTTTAATTTTATACCAGGTATTTTATAGGATAGGACTCCTACAAGATTTTGGAACAGGATTTTGTATAAATTCTAAAAAAAACTTATTTAAATTCTGAATTTAAAACTGAATTAAAGCCTTTTTTTTTTTGACCTCCCTAATATGAAATAATGGTTGCGCGTCTCCCAAATGGAAGCAAGTCACCAGATGAGTTTCACAAGACTTCGTGCTTTTCCCAACACTCTTCATTATTTTTATTAATGATTTTCTTTTGCATATTAGTAACAAAAGTCCTGGCAAAATATTGCTAAATATCAAGAAATGCAATATTAAACTTTTAACTTACAACCACTTTTGAGAAAACTTACTCTATGACTGAGTACAATTGGCAAGGTAATGCAAAAAGAATTAAAATTGCTACTTTCAACCTCTGAAAAAGATCATAGCACCCTTATTTTTAATGATCTTAAATTTAAAACTCAATTTTTTATTGATGTCTCTAAAGCTTAAAAAAATGCTTGGCGTATTAGACTTTTCAAGCAGAGATGCAATACTATAGAAAAAGCTTTACATTATTCAGGTTCGTCTTTACCTCGAAAGTCAGCTAGTATATTATAACTCTTTGGTAAACAGTATTACCAAAGAGGTATAATATACTAGCTGGAATGAGAACAAAGCAAAATTATGTAATTTTTTAGGAAACTTTCTTTGTAATAATATAATTTTTAATGAAATACCGCGTAATTGTCGTAATTAAATGACGTACAATAATGATAGGCTTGAATATTTTTTACAAAGTATATAACATAAGGTGGCCATTGTCCCAGATTTTAGTTATCAAAGCGTTGCGCTAAACTAATAAAAAATAAAACCTTGATTGCGTTCTTCTCCGGAATAACGAGGCAAAAAATAAAGTCCAAGAGAAATTTAATATACTCTGTGACGAAAAAACGTTTTTTAAGAACATAACAAACCTAGAGCTAAACGGGTTCAGTAAAAGATAAAGTTCAAACATATATTAGAGATTGTCTAAAACTTTAATATACTAACTACTGAGTATACCAAAACTGTTACTTTATCTTTATCGTGATTTTTATTTGAATTATTTGTTGATAGCACGAACAGTTGTTAAAAACTTATTGAGTCAATTTTCAAGATAATCCACTTCGACAACAGCATTAAATGCTTATAAACTTCATTTCGAATTTTTCTTTTTCACCGTAATGGCGCCATTTTGACTTGCCGCTGGAATAGTTATAATACAAAGACTTTAACACGGTTTCAAACCATTTTCGACTAAGATCTCCTTCCGGCTAGTCTATTATACCTTTTTGGTACAAATCATCAATGATTCAAACGTTTTTTTTTTCAGACAATTTTTAGTTGTTGTTGCTTAAAACCAATAAGTAATGAAAAGCAAACAGCGTAAATGGATTTTAGAAATGAAATATGCAATAAATCGGAACGAAGTTTCATTATCTTTTAGATTATCCTTAAGGCTTAATACTTAACATATGAGTAAGTACTTCACTTTATCTAACATAATTTTAGAAAAAGTCTGTTTAGAAAAATTTAAAGGTGCTTAT